ATTTACCTTCATAAAACCTACAGAAACCCTGATAAAATGAACTATACATAAAACGGATTCTCCTTTCACTCATTGGTTGAAAACTGCAAAAAGAAACAATAAATTAGAGACATATAAGAATAATTTCAGGCTCTGTCTTGAAAGTATGTCAAAACTGCACCTTAACACAGTGTACACTGTATAAATCCAGTGTTGACAGTTGTAGTTTTGTTTTTAATACCATGTTGATAGTTTGGAGTGCACACACATATTAAACTGTTTGTAGGAGAGTCTGTGTGAAATAACTGTTTTTAAGCTTCTTCTTCCAGTGTAGTTTGGTATTATCTTTATTCATTTGGAATACAGTACAATGTCACAGGTGGATACACACATTTTGTGCACTCAGTAAACACACGTTCACAAGGTGAAATGAATGAATAAGGTTACATTGACCCTCCTCAGAGAGCGTAAGTCGCACTAATAAACATATGTATGGCACATTGATTATCCACATTCAAAAATAGTTAGTCAGACCTGATAGGAATATCATAGAAATGTCATCACTGTAAACAATATTCTTTAAGGTCTTTAAAAAAAACAGCATAAGGCAAAGTAAGAAATGTCACAGGACAAAATTCAACACGCTCCAGTATGGAAACAGGCCGAAGCACGGCCAAATACTTGTTTCCATAAATGAACGTGAGCTGAATTTTTGTGCGTCTCTTTAGAAAAACACAGAAATGTGGCTCACATCTCGAAAAAAAGCCTGTCATATATTGCCATCTCTTTAACAAAAATAATGAAGCTCTACATGTATCGGTTCAGTCTTACAAACATAAACATCTTGATCATTTATGTAATACAAAACATCTGGCTATAACAAAAATGACTTCAATGCGAAATTACTAAAAATCTTGGATACTAAAGTGCTCTACAGATAATAAACTACTGGTCTGATTAATGAGAAAAGAGATCCATCCTCTTTTGTACAAACCAACATTCTCATTAAAATCCACAGTTATATGTACTTAGCATTTGTCAACCCACATTTCCTATTCGCTTTCATGTATTGCTTAAATATATACTCGATATTTCCTCCTCAGGAAAGATGACGCAAACAACAAACCTCATATAAAATGTATGCTTCTTCAAGATACTCTTTTTCATGATGCCAAGTAGACATGAAATACTTATATATAATATATGCTTTAATATTTAATGTACATTACAATGAACCATATATTTTGAATGTTTCATTTAAGTTCCGATTAAAAATGGAACATAAGTTTCATATACAGGTGTCCCCCAGTAACAAGCGTAATCTAGCTTTTATGATAGTGAAGCTTTTAGTCAAAATATATGTCGGCATCCATCAAGGCAGCATCAAGAAGGCATTGGTTTGCATTTCATGTCTTGGGTCATTTGCTAGCATATTCAAGAAGTAGTAAATAAGTCTTTACGGCAAAAATTGTCAGGTAACCTGAAAAATTTGCTTCATATGGTAACATCTTCAATTACCTGTTTTTATTCATTCCAAAATGTAGATCCTTTTTAAAATAAAAAAATGTAAACCTTAAATTGACTGGTTTTATTCATGTCAAAAATATAATTTAATTTCATAACAAATGTAATTATTTTAAATCTTAAATTATCTGGCTTTATTCAGGGTAAAAAAAAACTGAATTTTAAACCTTATATTAACTGGTTTTAATAATGGTCAAAAATGCAATTGAATTTAATAACACATTAAATAATTCTATTTTACATGCATCAAAAATAAAATTGTGTTTAATAATAAATGTAATTATTTTAAACCTTAAATTATCTGGTTCTATTCAGGGTAAAAAACTACATTTTAAACCTTATATTAACTAATTTTATTCATGGTCAAAAATGTAGTTTAATAATTAAATTAAAATGTAAGCCTTAAAGTAACTGGTAACATGAATGAAGTAACTTAATTCATGGTCAAAAATGTACTTTAATTTAATAATTCAATCTTAAACCTTAACATGAACTGTTTTATTCATGGTCAGAAATTTTAAATAACTGGTTTAAGGTCGAAGAAAAGTGATTTAATTCAATTTTAAACCATTTTTATTTTGCATTTAATTCGTTACTAAAGATAAATCTACTAATTCTTGTTATAATAGGTTATACCAACAAAAGCATTTTTAGAGCAAGTTAGAGAAAGTAGAAATAGAGCAAGTAGAAATAGATCTTTAAGGAAAGTTACCACTTTTACAGCGTGATACACCTAAAACGAAGCCATCGACACTGCTTTGCTTTGCTTTTCTTGTATTTCTTTCTTTCTTTCTTTTTTAATAAGCAGCTATTGTGAATAATTAATTCTGTTGGATCTGATTTACCAAGCACAAATAAAACAGACCGGGTTACCAGCCAATCCAGTAATGATATAATGATGATTTCCTTATCAGGTATTTCTATTCTGGATGAGTTTTGAATAACAGCTATTCTCTGGTCAAAGATAATTTGCCATTTCAAGCGATAATATTTTGCTCGCGGCTCGGGAACATTATTAGCTTTCCCCGTTTCTATTAATGAATAAGGAATCGTGCCTGTCTAATGGGGGAAACCTGTACATTGTTATCCTGTGACTCCTCTTTGACTGTCACTCGATCGTAGTGCCCGTGGTGTGTGCTGAGACGGGTGTTTCCATCCATTGCATATTTCATTTATACCTGGACATCCAAATATAAGAGTTTTATGGTGCTGTAACTAACAGCTAAATCAATTCAGGCCCTGGGCAGAGTTGAAAACTAATGTTATACTCTGGAAAATGCCCTTCAATAGAATGGCACACTTACAGCTTATACATATTCAAACCCTGACATACATATTTGAAATATTATTCACACCTTAGATACTCCATTTTGCCATCATCATGTCAACCTGCACACAAACTACTATATTTCCCATGAAAACACTGAACGATGTCACAAATGGCACATTCATACACTCTAAAAAATGCTGGGTTAAATATAACCCAGCGCTGGGTTAAAAAGGGACAAACCCAGCTATTGGGTTGTTTTGGCCCAGCAGTTGGGATGTTTTGAACCCAACCGCTGGGTCAAAACAACCCAATAGCTGGGTTTGTCCCTTTTTAACCCAGCGCTGGGTTATATTCAACCCAGCATTTTTTAGAGCGTATGGACATATGAACAATATATTTTGAAACATCAGTGAAACAGTGATATACCACAGTGTTTGCTCTCAGGTTATATTAATACACATATTCCTTACAACGAATAGAAACATCATGACCATCCATTTAGGTTTGGCGATAAGCTTAAATGGACATCGATTTGGTTCGAAAACAACTATTAAATCATTTCCTGATATGTCAGAAAACAAATACTCTTTTTATAATGTGTCTTAACGTATTCATTTGGTATCGTTTCATGCCAGTCGTGTCATTTCAATTAAAAAGCTCCTAATTATCAACTCTATGTGATAACTACAGTGCAAATGTTCGCAAAATGTAACAGTTACATCTGCACCGACGAGCGCTGTTGATCGTTCAAACAGTTCGCCTGAAAATGCATAGTGTATTTCAGGTGAAAAGAAAATCATTTTGATCCACGTACGGTAAAACACTTAAAGAAATAGTTCACCCAAAAATGAAATTTGCTCGTTTCTTCATCGGAGCAGATTTGGAGAAATGTAGCATTACATCACTTGCTCGTCAATGGATCATCTGCAATGAATGGGTGCCGTCAGAATGAGAGTCCAAACAGCTGATAAAAAAAACATCACAATAATCCACAAAAATCCACACGACTCCAGTCCATCCATTAATGTCTTGTGAAGTGAAGTGCTGCATGTTTGTAAGAAACAAACCCATAATTAAGGCCTTTTAACTTGAAAACTGTCATTTCAGGCCAAAATATGAGTTCATAATCCATATTCAGGGAAAGACTCCATCCCCTGTTGTCCTCTCACATCAAAATCAACTGACACGTATGACTTATCACTCATTCACTTATGAGCGGTGCTTGATCTGTGCATGCTTCTCTCCTGATTCAGATGAAACAACTTAAGAGAAAATAATATTACGGATTATGGACTTGTATTTCAGCCAGAAGCAATGGTTTTCGCTTCACAAGATGTTAATTGATGGACTGGAGTGGTGTGGATTACTTGTGGATTATTGTGACGTTTTTTTATCAGCTTTTTGGACTCTCATTCTAACGGCACCCATTCACTGCAGTAGATCCATTGGTGAACAAGTGATGTAATGCTAAATTAACTCATCTACATGGCCTGAAGGTGATCAAATTTGCATTTTTGGGTGATCTATTCCTTTAATATTCTACAGGTATGTCACTAGTGGTATAGTATCGCTTTTGGGTTGTTTCACGCCCCCTTTGGCCATATGAAGTACTACTACAATCATCTCAGGCATGTGCAACAGGTAAAAACCAACAATAGTTACTCGACAAACACAAGACTAACATTGCATGACATGAGCATGCCCTAAACAGCCCTTATTATCATGCAAAGGGATCAGTATAATGGATGTAAAAGATGTCAGAAATTGCCTCTGCTGCATATCCAACTCTTCATACGTTTAAGACGGGTCTTTCTTCGAAAATTTGTTTTGGGGTCTAATATATAGATGAATGGATGCACAGCTGAGCTCTACTGGTACATCCAGGCTATTGTAAATCCATGCATCGTCATGCATCAAAGAGTAGGATCCTCGGTTGGAGATGTCCATGCGGCTAAACTCACCCAAAACATACTGAAGAGGGAGAGAGAGCGGTTGAATGGGGAAATGTTTAAAGTCCTTTACAGCATAAACTTCTTATTTTTTTCTCTTTTCGTGTACTTTTATCAGACCTTTTTGGGTAAGACACAGTATGTGTGCGTTTATATATCTGAGTACATCACGTTTGCTGTCAAATATGAATCATTCTCTCCAGTAGAAGCTGTAGCTCGTCTCAAAAATATTTCAGTCACAACATTTGGATTTCATGTAAATAAAATGAACTTTTCAGCTGCTCCAGTTTGTGTGTGCATGTTTTGTTTTTTTGCCATTTTTATCACTGTTATATGTTGAATTGGATCTACGTTGTGATTGGTCCATTCAGTTACTTCATGCCACTGCGAAGCACCTGATTGGCTGCGATAAGCATGACACTGATGATGAAAGCAATCGCGAAGGCGCAGATCAGACTCTTCCGTACGCATGTTTGCTTCACCTGCTGGGTTGGACTTTCCGCTAAAGAAGCAGAAAGAAATATATGAGAAGATCAGGAGAAATATGGACGTAAGACAAGTTTTGGAGTTGATTCATTGAAATGAAATTAAAAATGTGGAACATTGGTGACAAGATAGTATACATCACTGGATGAATAGCAAAAAAAGGTTTATAAATATGTAGGACTGCAAGAAACCATGAAAATGTACTGAAAAGTAATGTTTGTCTTTTTCTGTGTTGATTAATCAACTGTGAGTTTGTCAAGTCTTTTGTGCATTTCACCTACTGTAAGAAGAAGTGCTATTTGTATGATGCCACAAACTATCATTCAAAAGTTTGGGTTTGTATGATTTTTTTAAATGTTTTTGAAAGAATTCTCTTATGCTCACTAAAGCTATCAATATGCCGATTTGCTGCACAAGAACATTTCTTGTTATTATCAATCTTGAAATCATCTGTTCTGCTTAACATTTTGTGGAAACTACTTTTTTCTTTGATAAATAGAAAGTTCAAAAAACAGCATTTATTTGAGATAGAAATATTTAATAACATTGTCTTTGCTGTCAATTTTGGTTAATTTATTGTATCTTTGTTGAATAAAAATAGTAATTTATTTAAAGAAAAATCATACTAACTCCAAGCATTTGAACAGTAGTGTATGTAGATCAAGATATTAAGATTTTGGGGGGTCTTCATCCACCAAAATCCTAATTTAGCAACTCTATACACCTTACAAAATTAAACCTGATGATGAAATGCATATTTTTGCAGGGCAGTAATAATAATCCAACTCATATTTCATCCAGAGTTGTGCATTAAGAAAGAAAAAACATTCTTACTGTCAATGTCAACCTGGCAGTCCTCAGGATTTTCGATGTGATTCTCCTCTGTCATGATGATATTCTCGATGTCCTTCATAGTCAGGTGGTCACAGAAGGTGTCATATAAGAGTCTCTTCAGCTCTTCCACAGTCAGCTTCTGCATATCACACTAAAAACAGAGACCAAATTGTATTATTAGGAGTCAAGCACCGAAGGTGCGAAGGCACCTATTGTATCCGTTGGCGCTCTTATTATTCTTTTTCTTCCGTTTCTTCCGCTCTAGAGTCTATGGTAGCCCATAAAACCGCTTGGGGGAAAGTTGTGAAATTTGGCACACTGATAGAGGACAGTCCCAAGACTTTAAAAAAATAAAAATAAAATCGTAAGATTTTTTCGTTTTTTCGCTACTTTTTCGAACTCATCCTAGACGGTTTGTCTGATTTTCGCCAAATTGGCTCAGATCATCTTCAGATCATGCTGGCAAAACGTTATGGAATTCAAGTTGATTAGTCAAACCGTTCTCGAATAATGCGTGAATGAATGGATGTGAGGCTTTTTCCCATGTCAGCCATTTTGGGCGTCTGCCATTTTGAATTTTGTCAAAAAATGCTATATTTTACGAACTCATTGCTGTATCGTTACGAAACTTAGTATGTGTCTTTGGCACCATGCCCTGACAGTACTCAAAAAGTTTTGGGGTTAAAAGTTTTGTGGCCAAAAGCTCGAAGGCCCGAGCACAGAATCGCAACGCAGTGACGGGGGTTCTCCACAAGAGGGCGTTGTTCTGAGGGTTAGCTCGGGGCTAGACATAATGAAATTTACAAAAATGCTAATAATGCTTGAATAAATTGGGCTATTGCAATAAAACTCAATATATTCTTTGGGTCATGCCGAGAACATCGATACCAATTATGCCAAAATCGGCCAAACTTCCTTTCCGCCATTTTGATTCAGGCTGAAAACCTACTTTTTCGAACTCCTCCTCGATCGTTGGTCCAATTTCCACCAAATTTGACTCGGATCATTTTGAGACCATGCTGGCAAAACGTTATGGATTTCGTGTCGATATACGAAACGGTTTTCGTTTTATGCATCAAACAAATTTGCTGGAAAGATGCCAAACTGCATCTGAGGCTGTATCTCTGCAAAGCTTTGACATATTTACACCAAACTTTGTATGTGCCATTGTCACCTCACACTGACCATGCCACATCAGTTTGGTAACAGCGCCAGCTATTGGTCAAAAATGTTAAACCAATCATTAACCATTAATAATGAAATTTACAAAAATCCTTATAACTTTTCATTACATTAGCCTATTGTAATCAAACTGGTCTCAAAACATTCCTTGGTTCATGCTGACAACACAGATACCAGTTTTACCATAGTCAGCTGAACTTCCTGTCCGCCATTTTGATTTATGTTGAAAACCTACTTTTACCATTCATTAACCATTAATAATTACATTCTTAAAAATGCTAATAACTTTTGATTGCATTAGTCTATTGTAATGAAACTGATATCAAAATATTCCTTGGCTTATGCCTACAACTTAGATACCAGAGTAAGCTGAACTTTCTGTCCGCCATTTTGATTTATGTTGAAAACCTACTTTTTTTAACTCCTCCAAGACCATTCGTCCGATTTTCACCCAATTTGACTCAGATCATTTTCAGACCATGCTGGCACAAAGTTATGGATTTTGTAGCGATAGACAAAACTGTTTTTTTGAGGCATGATGCCAAACTGACAGCAGTGAGCTGCGATTAGAGAAACAAACCCTTTGGGGGAATCACCATATGGCCCGTACAAATGATATTCTGCTTGTCTCACTTGGAGAATGCAGTGAATGAGACTTATGACATTTATTAATAATTATTGCTAAAAGTCATCATGTCACATAGAATATATCTGCATTTAAATGCATTCAGATATGTAAATTTGGCTCATGTTTAAAGGATAGGAGGCCCTTTATATGAACCAATTCCCTTAAGGTGATTCATGTCTGTTTGTTGGATTTCATAGAGAGCATTGAAAGTGTATCTAATCTGGTTTCTGTGTGACAGAGGCAGACAGAAGCAGCATATTTTGTGCCTGTTGTCACTTGGAATAAGAGAGAAGTGGCTAATAATCACCTTCCAGAACACAGAGTCAAAATTGGTTCCGTTGAACTTGTCAGGCATCCCGGCAGCCGAGAGTTTGGGCCCCAGGAGAGTAACGAATTCCTCAAAATCCACCTGGCCATCACCTAAAAAACAGACCGTGAAGTATTAGATGCATTCTAGCACAACATCAAGTTCCAGCGTGTTGGCTCTGGAATATGAAACGGGTATAGAAATGGACAGAAATCTGATATTTTCCGTCAGAGTTGTCTGCTATTAACAACTGAATAGAGAATACCAGCATCTGAACTGAATTTGCAGTGAGGTGTCAACGTGATGTAGAATTGTAATTTAAATTTAATAAAGTTAAATAAAGGCTTTAAAGTCTTTTAATAATACATTTAATTTTTAACTATGAATGACCCATGAAAATGAAATCAAAAACTATCAAATAGAGTTTGTGAAAAGCTAATAATGAAATAAAAAAATAAAATAAAACACCTACTAATTAATGGTTAAATGTTTTATTTGTTTATCTGATTTTCATATGACTTATCCAACATCAGAGAATATCACTGAAATACTAACTTAACATTTCAGTGTGTAAAAAAATAAGTAATTATTTTAGGTAAAAATGATTTGACTGAGAACAATTTTGGGAATCCTGGAAATAGAGTATTTCGAGAAATATGATATAATATCAATAATCCATAACACCAACAGAAATGTTTTTTTTTATATATATATTAATAATATTTGATTTATTTTTTAACAAATTTACTTTCATTTTGTGATTCTGTCAATATTAAAATGCTACTGCTGTTGATAGTAATGAGTTCGGAGATGTATGTCTGATCAGTTAAAAAAATAATTTGAACATATCTGGGAGTAAATAGTTGAAATCAAGCAAAATAAATGCTTAATAATGATTTAATGACAATAATATAATTTATAACTAATAATTATAATATTAATTGATGACTATGATTATTATTTGGTTAGACTAATAAAATAGTTCTGTTTTATTCAGATTTTTTGAATTGCAATTCACAAATATTCAAGTCTCTGCTTAATTCTTAAATTTGGCTAAATTCCTAAATTTTGCCTGAGTTTGCTGGTCATGGATTGGTTTGCTAATTAGTCCATTGTTGGATTAGTTTGATTAATTTCTCTCGCTCTCTCTCTTTGCTAGCTTCAATATTTTTAGTGTCAGATTGAGCGTGACTTCATGGAGTGAGTTTTGTCGAACTGAAAGACCCTCTCTGAGACGTTCTTTAAAGCACCGCTGCTACAGCCATCAAAGCACCGCTTTCGCCTTCAATTAATTTCTAGACAATTACTGTCAAACTTCAAAACGCCTACTGTGAACAGTGTTCTCATTATTAGCCCATGCATAATCCTTATGTCTCCATGCATTGTGAGGAATATGATAGAGTTTGGAGCAATAAAAGGTTCCCGTTATTTAGCTTTTTATTTGTTGAATATCTGTCAGTTGCAGTTGGCATCCCTACAGTGCCGAGAAATGCATATGATGGGTGTCTGGTGGGCTTCCTTAAAGGGATACTTCACCCTAAAACTGAAACTTGAAAACATTTGCTCACCCTTACGTTGTCTCAAACTTCTATAACTTTCTATCTATGCAGAACACAAAAGACAATATCTTGAAATAAATCAATTGAGACATCGCTTCTTTTCTACTCCACAGAAGAAAGAAAATCAAACAAGTCTGAACAACACAAACAATTTAGCACATATTCACTGAATATTGACATGAATGGATGGATGGATGAACTATCTCTTTAAGTTGCCTGGTGCACTGCAAAAAAATATAATAATTTTAATGGTAAAAGACTGTAAACATGATATGCTAAAAACCTGTAACTGGTTACCACTGAGTTTTTCTGTTTTACACATTAAAAAAGTAATTTTATGTGAAATTCTTTTAAAATTACAGTTTTTGGAAGTTAAAAAGAACAAGTCATCTTACAATTTAGAGTGAAATTTTTAAATGGTCATTGCCAGAATTCCCTGTGCGACACCTTTTATGTTTTTTTTAACAGTTTCTTCTTATTTTTTTTTTTATATCAGTTATACATTAGGGTTACACGTTACATTTTATGTTGTTAAATTGTTAATCTGAGTTTTTCTGTTTTACACATTAAAAAAGTAATTTTATGTGAAATTCTTTTAAAATTACAGTTTTTGGAAGTTAAAAAGAACAAGTCATCTTACAATTTAGAGTGAAATTTTTAAATGGTCATTGCCAGAATTCCCTGTGCGACACCTTTTATGTTTTTTTTAACAGTTTCTTCTTATTTTTTTTTTATATCAGTTATACATTAGGGTTACACGTTACATTTTATGTTGTTAAATTGTTAACATGATGATGTTTTGTATTTGTTTTATATGACACTGTTCACCTTCTATATGAGTCAAAATCTGCTAAGGGGTGATAAAGGAACAAATTTGTTACTGTTATTTACAACATGATCTGCATTTTCATTGGTTTAAATAAGAGACAAAAAAACAAATTTATGAATCAAAACCACATAAATTTGTTCTTCACTCAGTGAAATTGACAAGTGATTTTTATCAAATGAACAGTTCATTTGCAAAACCGATATTGCGCATTCCAAGTAATATCAATCATACTGCAGTTAGGTTGCTTTGATTAAGTAATAATAACTTAAACAAATAGTAATTTACAAAATTAAAGTTCATTGAAAATATGTTTTTGTTTTACATATTAAAAGTTTGTTTTATAGCAAAAGCAGATAACTCCAACAGTCGTTTTTTGGCAAAAGCAGATAACTCCACATTTCATGTTTTAGAGTTAAAAAAAAAACACTCTTTTAATCTTTGTAATCTCCTAAGATGACAATGTAGATGCCTGACAAACGTTGTTGTTGTTGTGATCATAAACTTTATGGATGTGATTACACGCAATACACAGAGCTTTCCCCTCATCATTGAAACACACCTTGCTTTTGCAAGGTTCCGTGAAAACGTTTCAGCTTTTATTTTCCTTTTTCGCCCTGAAGAAGATATCACAGGTTCATCAAGTTCGGCGAAACTATCCATCCTCGATCACTTTTAGTCAGCTTTGATGAAACTCCTCTCAGCTAGCACGTCTTTTCAAAGTGAAAGCAGCCTTGTCACCTGACCTGAATACAGTGCGCTGATTCGCTAAAATGGACTTATCGGCTTCTGTTCAAAAACAACAAGGGCGCTTGTCGGCTTCTGCAGTAAAACGTGAACTCGCGATGCCTTGAAAGTGGACAAAACCGGCTTTTTTGACAAAACGTGTTTAGGGTTCAGATCACGCTATATGTGGAGAATAATGCATGGCAATCAGCTCTTTTTTTTTTTAAAGTGGCGTTTATCGGTTTTTGCAAATGAGCTCTTCAAATGTAGATAACTACCATCTCAGTTTAAAAGAATGATGTAAGTTTGAAGATATAAATTTTTACATGATTTGTTACATTTAATTACCCCTTTGCAGATTTTGACTTTGCAGATTTTGGTGTGGCTGTATATTTGTGATGGTTGTCCATATATTATAAAGGTACAAAACAGATTTTAGTACTTCAGTAGGCTGGTATATTAACATTATATCAGTTAATGAAATATAAATTTTTTACTCTTATTTTAAGTTAATTCCATAAAACGTTCTGGTGACCACAGCTGTTGGGTTTTTTACCATAAATGTCACATATTTTTTCAGAACATCAGCTGATAGCCCATGCTGAGAGCAACAATCTATTCTTGTTTTTTCAGCACGGCACTCCATTCACAGTCTTGTGTATGTGTCTCCTCACCATCCATGTCGAGTCTTTGAATGATGACCTCCAGCTCGACCTCATTGGGCATGTACCCTAGAGAACGCATGGCCATGCCGAGCTCCTGCTTTGAGATGAAGCCATTCCCATCTCGATCAAACACCTTAAACGCCTCCCGGATTTCTGAGGAAGAGAGCAACACACACTATTACTCTGCAACATTGTTATACGAGACAGATATTAAAATCATCACCCCTAAGTGACTCAAAGAAAAGGGATGATTGCAGTATATTGATTTTTCGCACAATAATTCACTTTCAACTTCAGCAAAGCGCAGTCCTTCTTGACTTGATTGATTTAAAACAAAGGAACAGGACGATTTCCGTTGCATCCGAACAGGCTTGTTAAAAGACGTCAAAATGCCATAATACATAGGGTTGGTTGAGCCTACTTGTTTCACCGTATATGCATTATACATCATCATTAAGTCATTTGCAATTTTCCACTTGTCACGCCATGATGCCATATTCAGAATTATGAAATATGAGCCACTCTGGCTGCAAGATATTACTATAAATCCAGATAATATATTCAATACGGAGTGTGAACAGGAGTATTCGCTACTATGCTTTGCTCACTGTGCTTTAGGTTTGATAAATGGCACGTGGGGTCCAAACAAAAACAGCACATTAAATCTATCGCTCCCCTGAGTGAAGGAAATTAGGGAGGAAATATGAGAAAAATACAAGAAATGACGGTACTGCAGTCCAAATAAGTCAACAGCAACAGATGGTGAAAGCAATTTTACTCTGCATTACGGTGGAAGTAAGCAGATTTCAAACGGAAGTGAAGTGTGGGCTCTAATTTGCTCATTTCAAAGCAAAACAATTTAGCTGCAAGCAACACATTTGGAGGCTGGAAAAAAAGAAACGTTTTAAAGAAAAATAAGATGGTTCTAGGATGCCCTATCAACCAGACGAGAGCAAACTCAAACAGAATATTCAGAGTCATTAGCATTTGATTTGAATGATTATTAACAAGCTCATTATTCAAGAAGCTCAACAAGTAGATCAGAAGTGTACAAAACACATTAACAACTAGAGACAGGAATTAAGAATTTAACCATTTTGGTTCCAATAATTAGTACTTTTTAAGAAAAACAATGCAATTTAATTGCCAAAATTATTGTGAGATCATTTCAATAATAATAAATTATTTGTTTAAACAAATATTTAATAATTTATTAAATGATAGAATATTTTTTCTGATCAAAAAAAAAAAATTACTATCATAGATTTTTACCATGTTTTATGGAAAACAATGCACTAAAATGTCATTCAGTGTTAACAATAGTTCGTATACCAAAACAAATATTGTCAGGCATATTTAGAATTAAAATCAACAGATGACAATAAAAGACTCTCCAAATCTTTGCCACTATCCTTCAAACCTCTACGTTTTTTCAGCAATACATTTATTTAAAATATAATCAAATCTGGCATGATCGCTTTATTCTTTTATATATTTTAGTAAGTACGGGACAGAATGGGTATATTTCATTTTTTCGTAAATATATCTGTTAAGCTGAATGACGATGGAACATTACTTCACCCATATTTTGCCATTTTATTTTCACAAAAGTTATTTGAAACATTAACGTAGACACTTTAACACCAAAATGAGACATTCTGTCTTTGACCCAACTCCACTGCGTTTGATTAACTAAAAAAAAAACAGTTGATAAGAGTTGTTCATTCACACCACACTCATTATTTGTTGTTTTTTCTTTGATTTGCTTAAAATAACAGACGTATGATGTTAGAAGTGAGGCTTTTTGAAATGAACTGAACCAGTTACTGTACTTTGTTTCAGCTACTGAGGACATCCGATGGTTAAATCTGCATAAAAGCAATAAGGCACAGCAAAATCTGACATGACGTATTCTACAAAGAACAACTGCAAGTGTTTTCTACTAAGTGTAAACTACAATATCATTAAAATCCAAAATAAATGATTTACTGTATATCATATAGAATATAATAGAATGTCCCCAGCATCAAACCAGTGACATTTCTGTCAGTCGGCTCCATGTAGTATTTAAAGTAAAAAGTACTTTTGTGCATTGATTTTACTTTATATTAATAATACTTTAAATGCATTAATGTAAGGCACTGAAAACACATAGCGGTACAAAAAAAACAGTTGATAAGAGTTGTTCATTCACACCACACTCATTATTTGTTGTTTTTTCTTTGATTTGCTTAAAATAACAGACGTATGATGTTAGAAGTGAGGCTTTTTGAAATGAACTGAACCAGTTACTGTACTTTGTTTCAGCTACTGAGGACATCCGATGGTTAAATCTGCATAAAAGCAATAAGGCACCGCAAAATCTGACATGACGTATTCTACAAAGAACAACTGCAAGTGTTTTCTACTAAGTGTAAACTACAATATCATTAAAATCCAAAATAAATGATTTACTGTATATCATATAGAATATAATAGAATGTCCCCAGCATCAAACCAGTGACATTTCTGTCAGTCGGCTCCATGTAGAAAAGTAAAAAGTACTTTTGTGCATTGATTTTACTTTATATTAATAATACTTTAAATGCATTAATGTAAGGCACTGAAAACACATAGCGGTAAATTTTAGCAAGTTCATATTTATTGTGATTTTTTTTAATAGACTGAGAGCCATACCGGTGAATAACTGAACTGTGACAAATTAAAAAATAATAATAATAATAAAATAGTAAAGAATTAATGGTAACACTTTACTTGAAGGGGTGTGCATAAGACTGACATGACACCTTCATAATCATGACATGACACGTGTTTTTTATGCATGTTTATGACAACTGTCATTAAGTGTCATTCGCTCAGTTATGTCATTTTTAATGCAAAGATGACATTGTTTGAGATGTCTTTGTTATGGGCTATGGTTAGGGGTAAGGGTAGGGGTAGGGTTAGGTCAAATAATGTCATATTTGCATTAAAAATGACATAACTGAGCGAATGACACTTAATGACAGTTGTCATAAACATGCATAAAAACCTTCATATTCATGATATGTGTCATGTCATAATTATGTAGGTGTCATGTCATGATTATGAAGGTGTCATGTCAGTCTTATGCACACCCCTTCAAGTAAAGTGTAACCGAATTAATTTCAATGGTAATGGTTAAAAGTTAATCAATATTGAGCAGTAAGTGTATTAAAACACTGTAAAATACAATTGATAGAAATTACAAGCTTGAATAATGTGGCTGTTTGAGCACAGCACAAAAATTATAATTATTATTAAGAACACAAAAAATAAAGCTTGAAGTCTTCAAGCTGATAAATAATAATGTCTAATAGTTACTTACGGAGTACAGAAACAGGCCTCTTGTCTCAATATATTCTGATTGACAGGCAGGTAATTACTGCTATAGGTGATCATTTGAGACGTTTTAAGGGACCTCCATCATAGAGTGACTCAACCCACATAGATTGCAAATACACACGACAAACAGAAAACTGTCATTCACATGGCCTACCTGATTTGTAGAAAAGTGTATCAAGCATTCGTTTTGTCCAACTGATTTGCTTTAACCTTTAGCCTTCAATTTAATTGGAGAAATGAGAGGAGTATCCTTGGAATGTCATTGGGTAAAGAATACATGACACTGTGTAGGAGTTGTTTGGAATAGAGAATCAGGCCTCTGTCACAAACTCAGTTTACAAAAACACCATAACGATGTGTGAAATGTGGGGAAATTTGGGAAACTACCGAGGCTCTATAGTGGACTCAACCATGTTCGTTGTGCAACAAAGCTTTTGGGAAACCCACCTCTGCCTGTTGCTAGGCAACTGCACAACTGTTCCAACCCACTATTGTAAGGGTTGTGATTAGACCACAGCACTTCCAGCATGATAGCGCACGCTTGTCACAGCATATCAAAAAGTTGTACCCGCTCATAAAAATAGCACTTTCTATAAAAATAATAATGATAACTATGAAAGTCAAGCATGCATCTAAAACTGATCCAGTGTGGCATGTGTTTTCAACAATGCAATTTAAAAAAATACAGCTTTTCAGAATATTTAAAGGAATAGTTCACCCAAAAATGTAAAATTGCCGAAAATGTACTCACCCTCAGGCCATGCAGTATGGAGATGAGTTTGTTTTTTTTAATCAGAAAAGATTTGAAGAAATTTAGCATTACATCATTTGCTCTCTGCAGTGAATGGGTGCCATCAGAATAAGAGTCCAAACAGCTGATAAAAACATCACAATAATTCACAAGTAATCCACTCCACTCCAGTCCATCAGTTAACGTCTGGTGAAGCAAAAAGCTATGTGTTTGTAATAAACAAATATATTATTAAGGTGTCACTTTTGGCCAAAATACAAGTCCATATGCTTCCTCCAGTGGAAAAAGTCTAGCCCATGTTGCCCTCACACATATTTGTTTCGAAATGTTTTGGACTGTTTTCGTTCGTAAACGATGCTTGATCTGTGCATATTTCTCTTCTTATTCAGATTACTTTTTCACTGGAGAAAGCAATATTATGGATTATGGACTCCAATTATTTTAGTCAGAAGAATTAGTTTTAAGTTAAATATGTCTAAATAATGGACTTGTTTATTACAAGCATGCAGCTTTTCACTTTACAAGATGTTTATTGATTTAAGACATGCAGGTACTTGTGGATTACTGTGATGTTTTTATCAGCTGTTTGGACTCTCATTCTGACGGCACCCATTCACTACAGAGGATCCATTGGTGAGCAAGTGATTTAATGCAACATTTCTCCAAATCTGTTCTGATAAAGAAACAAACTCATCTATATGTTAGATAGCCTGATGGTGAATACATTTTAAGCATTTTTTTATTTTTTGGTTGTAAATTACATTTCTGTTATCATTTACTCCCCCTCATGTGGTTCCAAAAATCTTTTGACTTTCTTTTGAACTGGAAACACAAGAGATTTCAAAAACATTTGAAGCTCATTATTAAGAAACATTACATCATTATTAATAAAATTACTTTATAAGCTATCATTTTACTTCAAAAGACCTAAGTCGTGGATTACTTTTATGTTTTAATGCTGCTTTGCAACCTTTTTGGAAAAGAAAAAAGAGTGGTTATGTTTTGACGAAGAAAAAAAACCATCCAGTTTTGGTAAGTA